CAGTCACTTGAGTAATTCCTCCTCAAGTTCAGAGCAGAAGCACTGAAGTTATTAAAGTTGTTGTCTTAAATTACAATTATTGAACGATTTTTTTTCGTTCCATCATGGAAACGTCGTTTCATTTTCGCACGACTGGCGTATCATGCACAGACCAATTTGGATTTCAATTATCATTCATTAGCAATATTAACTGACTGAATTTTGGCGATTGACAACACATTTTTGTTTCCGCATGTGCAGTGTTCATGTTGCAATTTTTTTCATACAAAAACACCACTAATCCATTGATTTTTGTACGATTTGAAAAAAGTTTTCTAGCCTGCCCGATAGACAAAATTTGGCCAGTTGTACAGTCATTCTGATAGTTCACTTCCCATTAATTGGCCTATTATCATACGAAAACCCGATTCTGCTTCCCCACCCATTGCACCTGCTCTGTGTTTACATTAGAGATTAGAAGGCTGGAAGGTTGTGTAGTCACTGCTGGATGGGGAGATCAGGTCAAGCTGAACTGCTAAGCTGACAACTTTAATGACTTTAAGATAGAGGGCATGTATAAATGCGAGTAACAGACAGCAAAAGAGTTCAGAAGGGTTGTTTACTCAAAAAGTACAATGTTCTATTTGAAGATCAAATTGTGTGCAGGGTAATCGAAAAAGAAAGTTCCTTTCCTGGTACCTACATGGCAGCATATATATGGTTGGTGCTCCGCCCACCATCAACCCCCAGGACCGTACCCTATACATTTCCCACAGCCTTCTACTTACATGTTCCCTTTTTTGTCCTCAAGATGTTTGGGATCGGACACTGACCTCTTACAGTGCTGTAAATCAGGAAAGCCATCCAGGTTCGTGCTCTGCTGGGTGAGGTCTGCACGCTTAGGGCCGGTTCGGTGCTTAGGGCTTGCAGTATTTTTGCAGAACGCACTGGACAGGAACGTTAGTGTCTGCGTTCCGGGTTCAGGCGATCACTCTGCGGGTGGGGGACATGGCTGCGGTGCCATTGACTTCAATGCACTGCCACGCCCCCCGCCCTTGAACGCAGGGAACTGGCCGGCTTGTGTTCCAGTGCGTTCCAGAGGAACAAAAAAATGTTTTTGTTAAAAATAAAGTCAGACTTTTTGATCTATAGTTTAAAGTGACACTAAAGTCACAATTCTTTTTCTCCCCCCGCCATGCAGCTTTAAGGACTTACCTTAAATGATGGCTCTTGATCCGATCATCTTCTTCCTTCCACTTGTATTCAGCAATCCCTCCAGCGCAGGTGATGGTCTCTAATCTGACTGCTATGTCTTCTGTGTCCCACGGTATCTGTCCAACGTGCACGCTCCCGGCTGCATGCATTCACTTCCACTGTGTTTCTCCACTTCTCCCACTGAAGATCTCTACTGCACATGCGCCCGCCCCATCATCCTGCTCGGCCGCTGGAGAAGCTCCAGGTCTTCAGACGGGAGCAAGCAGTGGAGACAGAGGTAAGTAATTACCTTTTTGTTAACTTTTTAACTTTTTTTATGTTTTTGCATATATCTAATACTTGCTGGCAGCAGATATATGCAAAAAAACTTGAGAGTTTTTTACATAGTTACATAGTATTTGAGGTTGAATAAAGACATTAGTCCATCAAGTCCAACCTATTAGGATCTCATTCTAGGAGTACCCGTACCCCTGTATATTACGGTCCCTTAAGAAATCGTCCAAAAGTTTCTTGAACAATTCCACATTATTTGCTGAAATCACCGCCTGTGGCAGTGAGTTCCAGACCCTAACTGATCTTACTGTGAAGAACCCCCTTCGCCCCTTGTGCTGGAATTTTTTTTCCATCAATTTTAGGTGATGGCCTCTAGTTTTTGTAACGGAGTTAATTTTTTTAAAATATTTAGTTTTTATTAACATATAATTTTAAGACAAAACAAATACAATACATACAATACGATTACTTGACATTCCATTACATTACAATACATTTGCAGTATTTTACTTTAGGCCAAGGTGTATTCTAAGTCTACTGTATTGTAAGTAAATATCTATGCTTCAATCGTCTATCTATACCTAGTCTCACAGACATTTAATCATCCATCCTACCAGGGGACG